ATACAGCTGAATCAGCACGGCTCTATCAAGGGGCGTCATGCCTGACAAATCTGTTAGGATTCTTTGAGGAGGTAGAGAGCAAGTTAGCCAAAGGACAGCCAGTGGATGTGACCTATTTGGATTTCTGGAAGGCCTTCGACAAGGTGCTGCACAAGAGGCTGCTAAATAAGATGAGAGCCCATGGTGTCAGGAGCAAGGTACTGGCATGCATAGAGGATTGGTTGACTGGCAGAAGGCAGAGAGTGGGGATAATGGAGTCTTTTTTCAGGATGTCAGCCAGTGACTACAGAAGGTCCACAGGGATCAGAATTGGGACCATAACTATTCACGTTATACATTAACGATCTGGACGAAGGAACTAAGGACATTGTTGCTAAGTTTTCAGATGACACAAAGATAGATGGAGGGACAATTAGTGTTGAGGAGGCTGCAAAAGGTTTTGGACAGGCCAAGAGAATTGGCAAAGAAGTGGTAGATGAAATACAATATGGAAAATTATTAGATTGTGCACTTTGGGAGGAAGAATAGAGGTGTGAACCTTTTTCTAAATGGGCAAAGGATTGAGAAATCTGAAACACAAAGGCATTCAGGAGCACTAGTTCAGGATTCTCTTAAGGTTAACATGCAGGTTCAGCTCTCAGTTAGGAAGGAAAATGCACTTGAGCATTCATTTTGAGAAGGCAGGAATGTACTGCTGAGGCTGAATGATGTTCTGATCAGACCACATTTGCAATATTGTCGGCAGTTCTGGCCTCATATCTAAGGAATGCTGTGCTAGCCTTGGAATGGGTCCAGAGGAGGTTCACAAGAATAATCCCAGGAATGAAGGGCTTGTCATATAAGGAGTGATTATGGCCTCTGAATCTATACTTGATGGAGTTTAGAAGGATGAGAGGAGATCTCATTGAAACTTACAGAATGCTGACAGGCCTGGATAGAGCGGACGTTGGGAAGATGTTTCCACTAATAGAAGATACTAGGACCCCAGGGAACAGCCTCAGAGTGACCCTTTAGAACTGAAATGAGGAGGAATTTCTTCTGCCAGAGGGTGGTGAATCTGTGGAACTTAATGCTGCAGAAGGTGTGGAGGCCATGTCATTGAATGCACTTAAGACAGAGAAAGATAGATTCTTGATTAGTAAGAGGATCAAGGATTACAGGGAGAAGGTGGAAGAATGGAGTTGAGAAACATATCAGCCATGATTGAATGGCAGAGCAGGCTTGATAGGCCAAATGGCCTAACTCTGCTCCTATATCTTAACGCCTTCTGGAATCCAGGAGTTTATCCAGCATGTGGAAGCCTACTCTCATGCTGAAAAACAGCACAGACAAGATCTGAAGAACAGGTGTGATGTAGTTGGGATTACGGAGATATGGCTGCAGCGTGACAAGGGTGAGAAATAAACATCCAGGGGTATAAGGGATAAAGGACAAAATATCAAAAGCGTTGAAGTTGCATTACTGGCCAAAGAGTATACAATTACAACGTTGAGGAAAGATACCAGTTCAGACATTGTAGAATCTATGTGGATAGAATTGAGAAATAATAAGGTTCAAAAAACATTAGTGAGGATGGTATATAGAGCACCAAACTATCGTGGTGATGTTAGGAATGTCATTAAACAGGAAATCAGAGATGCATGGGGTATTGGAACATCTGTAATTATGGGTGATTTTAATCTGCATACAGATTGGGTGATTCAAATTAATCACAATACTGTAAAGGAGGAATTCCTGGACTGTATATGAAATGGCTTTCTGGCCAATATATTGAGGAACCAACTAGAGAACAGAGCATCTTAGATTGGGTATTATGAGAAAGGAATACTTGGCAATGTAGCTGTGAGAGACCTCTTGGGGATGAGTGACCATAATACGATAGAATTCTTCATCAAGATGAGGTAGTATTCGGAGACTAGAGTCCGAATCTTATTGAAGAAAACAATGATGGTATGACACATTAGTTGGCTACAATGGACTAGGAAATGTTACTGAAAGGAATAATTGTGGATAGGCAATGACAAACTTTCAAAGACCGAATCAGTGAACTACAAAAATTGTTTTTTCCTTGGCTGGCACAAGAATGCAAAGATAACAGTGGCCAAACCATGACTTATGAGGAAAGCTAGAGATAGTATTAGATGCAAGAAAGATGCACACAAATTGGCAAGAAAAGGCAATATACTCGAGGATTTGAAACAATTTAGAAGTCAGCAAAGAAGAAGGACTGAGAAGAATTAAGAAGGAGAAAATGAAGTATGAGAAAGAAAGTGGGGAACACAAGAACTGACTGTGAAAGTTTCTGTGGGCATGTAACGAGAAAGAGATTGGCAAAAAATAATGTCGGTTCCTTACGGTCATAGAACATAGAACAGTACAGCACAGTACAGGCCCTTCGGCCCACGATTTTGTGCTGACCTACTATCCTACTAAGATCAATCTACCCTGCATACCCTACATTTTACTATCCTCCAATGTGCCTATCCAAGAGTTGCTTAAGAGTCTCTAAAGTATCTGACTCCACTACCACTGCCGGCAGTGCATTCCACTCTCTGTGTGAAGACATCTCCCCTATACCTTCCTCCAATCACCTTAAAATTATGCCCCCTTGTAATAGTCATTTCTGCCCTGGGAAAACGTCTGACTATCCGGGCTATCTATGCCTCTCATTAGAAACAGGGAAATTTATAATATGGAACAAAGAAATGGCTGACAAACTAAATTCATACTTTGTTTGTGTCTTCATAAAGGAGGACACAAATATGTGCCAGAAATGTGGGGAAACACAGGGTTTAGTGAGAAAGAGGAACTGAAGCATTGTCTGAATTAGCAGAGAAATTATGCTGGAGAAACTGATGGGACTGAGGGCTGATAAATCCCCAGGGCCTGGATAACCTACATCCCAGAGCACATAAGGAAGTGACCCTAGAAACAGAGAATACATTGATGGTCATCTTCCAAGATTCTTTAGAGAATGGAGTAGTTCCTACAGATTGGAGGGTAGCTAATGTAACCCCACTATTTAAAGTAAGTGGTACAGAGAAAATAGAGAATTACAGACCAGTGAATCTGATGTCAGTGGTGGAGAAGCTGCTGCACTCCGTTATCAAGGATTTCACAGCAAAGCACTTAGAAAACATTGGTAGAATCAGACATAGTTAGTGTGAAATCATGCTTGACAAATTACTGCAATTTTATGAGGGTGCAACTTGTAGATTTGACCAGGGAGAGCCAGTGGATGTGATTTATTTGGACTTTCAGAAGGATTTCAACAGAGTCCCACTTAAGAGATTAATGTGCAAAATTAAAGTGAATGAGATTGGGGATAGTGTACTAAGATGGATACAAAATTGTAGCAGACTGAAAACACGATAGGAATAAATAGGTTCAGAGATAGTAGGAACTGCCAATGCTGGAGAAGGGTCCAGACCCGAAACGTCAGCTTTCCTGCTCCTCTGATGCAGCTTGGCCTGCTGTGTTCATCCAGCTCTACACCTTGTTATCTCAGGAATAAATGGGTACTTTTTCTGAATGGCTGACACTGACTATGGGGTACGGTAACCCTTGGTACTAGGTCTTCAGCCATTAAGAATATATATTAATGATTTAGATAGAGAACTAAATGTAATATCTCAAAAGTTGCAGATGATGTAAAGCCGGTTGGAAGGGTGACCTATGAGGAGGATACAGAGATTTTCCAGTGTGGTATGGGACAGGCTGAGTGAGTTGCATGGCAGATGCATTATAATACATGTGAGATTATCCACTTTGATAGCAAAACTAGGAAGGCAGAGTATCTGTAAATTAAGAGAGGGGAATATTCAACGAGACCTAGGTGTCCTGGGTGATCCGCCACAAATTCTGGACTCTTTGGAAAGTACTAATACAGATAAGAGGCTGAAACTTACTTCTTAAGCAAATGCTGAATATCATCCAACCCTTGCCATTTGCCCAGATCGATATGTAAGAAGAGAATAGTGCCACTAATGTGGATTTGAACATTCTCAGCATCACGGAACAACTGAACCTGCTAATCATGCTTCTGCTTAGCAAATTATCACTGTATGTTATGTGTACTTGCCGTGAGAGTTTCAAGCAAGGCAAGTCCTCTCATATCAGATAGCGACAGTGAGGGAGGGTACTAAGCAGGGAAGCTCACGCAGTTGTGCCGGGACACCCAGTGGCAGGTACTGACTGTGGGGCAGGACAGCTGGAACAGTTGAATAGACCCTTTCTGGAAAAAAAAAGGTGTCTACGGAGGAAGGAGAACCGATGGGAAGTAGACAGACAAAGGATTCCATACCCAATGCAAACCACAAGGTCCATTCTGTGTACTGTACGTACTTCCTTGTTTGACCGCAATTTCCCTTCATTTTTGCAATGATCTGATGTCAGGAAAATAAAGAACCTCTGCTTCACGACATTTCAGCTTTTTGCATGTTGAAATTGCATGTTACACTGAGCAAGTAAACACATAGGAGCATTAGAGATAACAAGGTGTAGAGCTGGATGAACACAGCAGGCCAAGCAGCATCAGAGGAGCAGGAAGGCTGACGTTTCGGGCCTAGACCCTTCTTCAGAAATTAGCTTTGTTTTCATTTCAGTTCAGAAGAGACCAGTGTTGATTTGAGAAACCAGTTTAGTGCACAAGTTACCTCAGCAGAATGAGTTAGTTTGCTAAACTTTCAAGCCAGAAAAGGCAGGTAAATGGAGTTAGGCTATAGATCAGCTGTGATCTCACTGAATGACAGAACAGGCTCAAGGAGCCAAATAACTTACTCCTGTTTCTAATTTCCTATATAAATCAAACACCCTTCATCATGCTCTGTAAACACATTCGATGATCATTAGTTAGTCTGTAAACATACACACTGACACAAATGACCATCACTATTAGTGTACAACTATGCACTTATATACCAATTATCACTATCTTTAACTATAAAAACACACTGACACAGCAAGTGATACACAATTTGACAATAAGACAAAGTACGTACCATAAAAAAGTTGAATGGCGTCGTTGGCAAGTAAAAGAGTGAGAGATTAAATATCACACATCCTGCTACTGCAAAATGTGCAGTGATCATGTGGATCACGAGTATTGCCCATCTCTGAAAAAGGAAGGAAAACTGAATAAACAGGGGACCAAGATCCATAACTGAGGAAATAAGTAAGTTTTTTGTTCTTTACAGAATCTTTTTAGAGTTTACACGCCCTATGTGATGGGCCACTTTCTGTGCTCTTCCTTTCTGGCATGCTAGGTAAATGCAAAGTCAACAGCAATACACACCATTTAAATATGGCCAATTGATGTGCAATCAGCGCCTTTAATGGAACATTGACCAGGATCTTACAAGAACCAGCAGACAGGGAAAGGTGGGACTTGAACCTCACACTCCAATCCCTGTTCTTGGAAGAACCACTGTGTGGCCAGTCATTCACTGGACTGATGTGGGGACTGAGTCATTGGTTATATTGTTTACCTGAAGCGGTTGAACGTAATGGCAGCATCTTATAAGGTTGTCCACCACCTGAACACTGCCTCAGATCTCCTGCAATTAAGTAACCAGTTTTACATGATCAATTTAAGATTTCCAGACAGTATTTCTGACCTGCCACTGACGGTGGTCCACCATGGTCCCCAGAGCATAAACAGCCTAAGCCTGGGGTAAAAGATACTTGCCAGCATAGCAGACAGAAGATCTCAAGTGAACTCACAGTTCAATTGCGACTTCTATCACATTTTCCTCCATACTATGCAGATCTCCTTTCCAAGGAAACCTCTGCACCTAAGCAAGAAAATCGGGAAGGATTTGCAGAAGTCATAAACCATGGGGAGGGCTGGGGGTAATCTGCAGAACCCTAGTTACAATTCTGCAAACACGTCAAGGATCTTCTCTGTCCTGCAAGGGTGAGTACCGTATCTCTATTACCTTACAGCTCAGCCTAAGGGAGGTGATGGCCAAGAAGTATTATCACTGGATTGTTAATCCAAAGACCCAGGTGATGCTCTGGGTACCCAGGTTTGAATCCTGCCATGGCAGATGGTGGAATTTGAATTCAACATAAATCTGGAATTGAGATTCTAATGATAACTATGAAACCGTTGTTGATTGATGGGAAAAACTGTTCACTAATGTCATTTAGGGAGGGAAACTGCTATTCTCACCTGGTCTGGCCTACATGTGACTCCAGGCCCACAGCAATGTGGTTGACTCATAACAACCCTCTGGCAATAAATGCTGGCCTCACCAGTGATGCCTTTCTCCCGTAAATGGATAAAAGAAAAAGCACCTGTAGAAACATAAGCATGTGGCTGCGTGGCTGCTTGGCTGGGAGAGGCCAGCATCTGTGTGGCATTAAGATCATACTGCAGGTTCTCCTTCACCAACTGTGCAGAGTGGTAGCAGAGTGTACCATCTATAGAATGCACTGCAGCAACCCAACAACATTCCTTCAATAGTACATTCCAAACTCACAAGGACAGCAAATGCAAGGGAGCACCATCACTTGCAAGTTCCCCTCTAAGCCCTAAGACAGATGAATTAACAGTGCAAATAGGTGTAAATAGGTACATTATGATTATGGTTGGAAATATGGCTGCAAGATCACCAATGTTGGAGACTGACTATCCAACAGTTTTCAATATTCAGGAAGGACACCAAAAAGGAAAAGGACATGGTGGGGGTGCATCGTTAGTAAAGGATGAATCCAGAATAGAACAGAATAGCCTTTATTGTCACATACTCAATGCCTATAGTGAAAAGTTTGTGAGAAAAGATATTGCCATTTGACAAGGCCCCTCATGGACCACATGGAATCCATGGTCAGTTGGCAAGAAGGATACAAAATTGGCTTGGTCATAGAAGACAGAGGAGGGTATTTTTCTGAGTGGAAGTCTGTGTGATCAGTGATGTTCCGTGAGGATCAGAGCTGGGACCTCTGTTGTTTGTAGATGTATGTATATAAACGATTTGGACGAAAATGTTGGTGATCTGATTACTAAGTTTGCAGATGGCACAAAAATTGGTGGAGTTGTGGATAGTGGGGAAGGATTTCAAAGAATGCAGCAGGATATAGATCACCTACAAAGTTGGGCAGAGAAATGGCAGATGGAGTTTAATCCGGACAGTGAGAGGTGTTGCATTTTGGGAGGTCAAATGCAAGAGAAAAGTATGTAGTAAATGACCGGACCCTTTGGAGCATTGATATACAGAAGGGTGCAAGTCCACAGCTCCCTGAAAGTGGGTAAGGTGGTAGAGAAGGCATGCTCACCTTCATTCTTCCAGGTACCGAGTATAGAAGTTAGCAGGTCATGTTGCAATTATATAAGGCTTTGGTCAGGCCACAGTTGGAGTACTGGGCACAGTTCTGGTTGCTACACAATAGGAAAGATGTGGAGGCTTTGGAGAGGGTGCAGAATAAGATTACCAGGATGATGCGCGGATTGGCATGTATTAGCTATAAGGAGAGGTTGGACAAATTTAGATCGTTTTTGCAAGAGTGTTGGAGGCTGAGGGGCGACCTGATAGCAGTATATAAAATTATAAGAGGTGTGGATAGGGTAGATAGTCAGAGTCTCTTGCCCAGTGTGGAAATGTCAAATACTAGGGGGCATAGGTTTAAAGTGTGTTGGGGAAAGATTAAAGGAGATGTGAAAGGAAATTTTTTTTATATAGAGGGTAGTAGGTGCCTGGAATGCGCTGCCAGGAAAGGTGGTAGAAGCAGATATCAGTAACGTTTAAGAGGCATTTAGACAGGTACATGAACAGGCAGGGAATAGAGTGATATGGACCATTTGCAAGCAGATGGGATTAGTTTAGAATAGCATGACAGTCAGCACAGACATGGTGGGCCGAAGGGCCTGTTCTGTGCTGTACTGTTCTGTGTTCTTATAACCAAGATGTAGGAACAGTTTGAGTGGAGCTAACAACCTACAAAGGAGCAGAAAACATTATCTGACAAACAAAGAAAATACTGGAGAAACTCAGGTCTGGCAGCATTTGTGGGGAGAGAAAAGAAATTAATGTTTTGGGTCCGGTATGACTCTTCAGAATGGTTCTTTTGTTCTGAAGTACAGTCACATGGAACTCAAAGCATCAATCCTGTTTCTTTTTCCATGGATGCTGCCAGACCTGCTGAGTTTCTCTAGCATTTTCTGAGTTTGTTTCATATTTCCAGCATCCACAGTATTTTGTATTCATTAGTGGGCAACATCTGTAAATCTCAAAACAGTAGTGGTATGGTAGAGGATGGCATTAAAGAGGAAATTAGAGATGCATGCAATAAGGGTGCTATTGTAATTGCAAGTGACTTGAATCCACATGCAGACTGGGAAATCCACCTTGGCAACAATGCTGTGGAGGCTGAACCCTGGACGGTGTACATGAGTTTCTTTTAAGACAAGTACAATAAGGAACTAATTAAAGAACAATGTATCCGACATTTGGTACTGTGCAATGAGAATGGGTTAATTTATAATCTCATGCAGATCCCTTAGGAAAGAGTGACCATTACATGAGGAATTTTATATTTTCATAGCGAAGTAGTCCCAAAATTAGTGTCTTAACTCTAAACAAAGAAAATTACATGGTACCAGTAGTGAAGGGGAAGTGAAGGTTTACCATGGTGACAGTCTACATCTGAACTGTGTTGAGACCAGTCTTCTTGCTAGGGGAGCAAAGAGGGTTTTAACTAAACAGTGGAAGCAATGGTGTGATATCGCAAAGAGTAGAAATGAGGTAAGAGAGAGAAACAGCAAGATAGGAAATGAGGGTCAGAGAATAGCAGGAAGGGGCAGGGGCAGACAGAAAAGAAACAACTAGGAAAATACCAACAACCAAGACTAGGTGTTGCAAAGATAACAAAAAAGACCAAAGTATGGCTCTGTATCTGGATGTGCAAAGCATTCATTAAATACAAAAACTGATAGTGCGCATTAAAGTAAACAAATAAGATATGATAGATATTATGGTTATGTGGCTACAGGATGAGAAGGATTGGGTTCTAAAAATTGAAAGGCATGACATTCAAGAAGAGTAGGAAGCCAAGCCAAGCAAAGATGGAGGCGTAGGACTGTTATGCAGAAAGGCATTTGTGCAATAGTTAGAGATGTCCTTTATTCAGGATATCAGAATGTAGGTTTGGGCAGAAATGAGGAATAATATGGGAAAGAATTAACTGATGGAAGTGATCTACAATTCCTAGCAGTACCAATGTTGGGCAAAATACATAAGAAGAAACATTAGATGCTTGTGAAAAAGGGCTAGCAATAATTATGGGTGAGTTTAATCCACATGTAAACAGGAAAAAGTAGCCCAAAGAGGAGAACATTGAAAGCTTTGGAGATAGTTTTTTAGAATAGCACATTTTGGAATGGAATGGATAGCACATTATATTAGATTTGATATTGTGTAATGTGATAGGATTAACAAATTGCCTCAGAGCGAAGGCAACAAACACAAATGATTGCATGTTATATGCAGTTTGAAAGAGAGAAGAACAGGTCTGAGACCAGTATTTTAAACCTAAATAACAATGTGGGCATGAAAGCTAAGATGGCGAAGTGAACTGGCATAGTAGACTAGTGGAGAGATGAAGAGACATAGTGATAGATATTTCAAAATACTCAGTAGTCTATTTATATGGGATTCACATTACAAGGACTATGGGTGGGGCTTTAAACTAAACAGATTGGGGTGGGGATGGATTCAGTTGCATGGAAAAGATTAAAGTGGGGGGAGGGCTCAGCAAAGGTTATTAAAATTTCCATAACAAGTAATAGAACAGAGTGTATGGAAAGGGGCAAAAATTTAACTTCAGGGAAAGCAGATAAGGGAACAACTATGAGGAGGAGGACAGTCAACACAGGGCTGAGGGCCTCATACTTAAACGCGTACAGGATATGATCCAAGGTAAATTAGCTTGTAGCGCAGATTGAAATTGGCAGGTACGATACTGTAGGTATCACAGAGACGTGGCTGCAAGGGGATCAGGTCTGGGAATTAAATATCCACAATTACACATCCTATTGAAAGAACAGGCAGATAGGATGAGAGGTGGGGTTGCCTTGTTAGTAAGAAATGAAATTAAATCAATAGCAAGTAGTGAT